ATGCAGATTAAAGCACAGCATATACCTCCAATGATGAATGCCACACGATAAGCTTGATCAGTTCCGGCGTCTTTCTTGAATTGCTGTATCTCCTCCAAATTACGTTCATTTAAACGATGAAGATAAGGGAGGCTGAGGACATCTTGGCTGGCAGTGATGTTCAGCAAGGGAGAGTTGGCAATGCCCGGGACTCTATTGCGTACGTTGTTGTGGTTGTAAAACAGAGTCCCGTTGATCGCGACTCGGTCCCCGAACGTAATGAGATGCGTGCCGTGTACTTGGATTTCAGTGCCGTTATCCACCTGGATCCTTGCGGACCCGTCGTTAAGAATGATGATTCCATCATCTACGTGGGTGATTATTTCCAGGTTGCTCGGCTGGATTTCACAGTGTGCCGTGCCACCTGCATGGAGCTCTTTGGCACATGAACTCTCTAATGCCAGACGACAAAAGGTGGCTCCAGGTGAAGCGGTGCAACTCTGCAGTGTGTGGGTTTTTCCATCGCATTCGGCTATGACGTTGTCAGGCAATCGCAATATGAAATTCTGATTTAAATTCCAAAAAAAAAATTTTTTTTTTTTTTTTTTTTTTTTTTTTTTTTTTTTTTTTTTTTTTTTTTTTTTTTTACGTTGGGCGCCAATTAATATGTTGCTGGTCCAGCGATGAACTAGGCGTCGGTGGCAGGTCCAGCGTTGATCGGGTATTTATAGTCTTAATCAATAAGTTGCTGGTCCAGCTATGAGCTAGGCGTCGGTGGCAGGTCCAGCGTTGATCGGGTAATTATAATCTTCTTATGATGATTATGTTGGAGGGTTTGACTTCACCCCCTTTTCTATTAACTGGCCTTGTGGCTCAGCAATGATCAGAAATATAACAATTTGATTACGGCGGTGTGCCGGAGTAGTGCGGGTTTATTCTTCAAACTTCAATGCAAAACTGATTTTTAGCTACATAGAATATTTCACTTAAGCTAAGCCAAAACTCGCATCACACCACAATGTCATGGTCGGCAAGCCGACTCAGCAATCTTAGGCAATAACGGAAACTCTTGCAGTAAACAAAAGTATCTGGTTACCGCCGCTGACCATTGCAGTTATAGCGCGCTGATACAAAGTATGCAGTGTCGCAATTGCGAGGGCTGTTTCTTAACTTACGAAACACGCGATAGCGAGGGTTGGTTATAAACTTATGAAATACCCTATATTAAATGTTATGTGTTAACTTATATATATATATATATACGTATATACGTATATGCGTATTATACATAACGATGCTGGCTGGCCGGCATCAAACGTGACGAAAAATGTAAAAATAAAATATAATGGCTATGCAGTAGTCCTTGCGCAACGCCGTGTCCTGGACTTGAGCGATAATTTTTTATTTGTATGCCTATCCGTAAGCTAAAAGTTAGCGGGGCCAAAGTGCCCAAAAACAAAGCCAGCCACAGCCAGTCACTCAGTGCTGGCAGCTTATCCTTTTTTTTTGGATAAAGTTAGCTTTTTTCTTAACTGAGTTTGTTGACAAAATTCCGATGCTTATTTATCAATACATATTTTTTAAAATATATTTTCTTTTTTAATAATTTTTTATTTGTATGCCTATCCGTAAGCTAAAAGTTAGCGGGGCCAAAGTGCCCAAAAACAAAGCCAGCCACAGCCAGTCACTCAGTGCTGGCAGCTTATCCTTTTTTTTTGGATAAAGTTAGCTTTTTTCTTAACTGAGTTTGTTGACAAAATTGCGATGCTTATTTATCAATACATATTTTTTAAAATATATTTTCTTTTTTTATATATTTTTTAACAGTTTTTGATTTCTGTTTCGATAGAAAGGAATCTGCTTGGCAATGCTGAAAGCCAGTCAGATTTATTTTTTTAACATGCAATCGAAAATCGCAAACAATCTTTACAGCTGAGATTACACTTGTTACATGTGTCAAAAAGCTGATTTAAAAAATTTGTATAGGTTTTCTTTTTCTATTTCTGATATTCTTAATATCTGGCATTTTACATATTTGCTAACATTTTATTTTACAAAAAAATTATTTAAAAAATGATTTTATACTTTTTTGAAGTTCATGTTGTCTCTTTGTCAATCTCGATTGACGACAGGCAGCACTGGCAGGTCAAACCGAAATGGTAATGGCGGGGATGTGAGGCGTGAGGGCTAAGGCGTGAGGGGTTAGAAGTGAGAACAACACATACACTTGGCCCAAAAAAAGGGAGAAAAAAACACTTTTTAGCCACGGCCGCCGCCGCCGTCAAGCTGCGCGTTATCCTTTGTGTAATTTTTGGTTTAATGAGGCAGGATTGGCAGCAAGAACTTGCCTCTTGCTGCTTCTCCGGCACCTTCTGCCTCTCCTGCTGTACACCTCTTTTGTAATAGCCAGCTTGCTTTTAACGATGCCGCACAGTAGGCAGCCATATTTTTTTCACTCATACATTTTTATGGCTGGAGCATTAAGTTAAAATTTGTGTTAAATATTTTATTGTTTTTATGGTCACATGAACACCTTAATTTTTATGTCAGTGTGCCGCGACATAGGTCCTGCAAATTATGAATATTATTTAACGCTGCGTCTGCAATCCTTAAAGCTAGCTGACAAAACTGTTGGACGTCTCCTCTCATTCACACTCCCACGCAGTGGGTGTCTGTGTGCGTGGGCATATTATTAGTTGTGAACCTTTTCAGGAGCGAGCTCCGGCAGCTAATGGGATACACAATTATTTTGCCACCTGTCCGATTACCAATGCAACGTTCGATTACAGGTTTAACTTTTATCTATCTGCAAGGGGAGGACATGAATTGGAGGAGACGAAGCAGTGTTGGGTGTTGGGTTTCCTATTAATTACTCATAGCCAGTTGTGTTCCTTGCTGTGTCCAATTAAATAGAACGAGTAAGAGCGTTGAAGACGGTCACAACCGACTGCACAATACTCGTCCATGGCCTTAATTGGAATGAGCAATGGAACTGACCATATTGAACTTAGGTCTATATGTAGAGGAAGTTATCCTTGCTGATAGACATACGAACAGCAAGAGGGAATTGCGTTAAACCAACTCTACTCTACTTTACTCTACTTTGCATCGTGAGCAAGTATTAGGCAAGGTAATTACTAACTATGCCAACAGCTAGCAAACTCATGAGTTCTGTCTTATGGAAAACTAAATCACTTTTCATCTAATTGATTCGGCAGACAAATCAGCTTCATGGAAGTGGAATTTATGAGTGGCTTGGCATTGATGCATGTCATATCTAGAGTCAATTTTATTAGTCTCAAAATAGCTCATAAATACCTAAGGAACATCGAATGAAGTACAGGGCAATTAATCTGTGCACATTGACCAGGTACGACCAGGACCAGGGACCAGGACGTGTACTTGGGGCATAAGATGAGCAAAAGTAAATTATTTTTAGCATGCATAGGTTTATGGGACGTAACGTCGCCGAAATTTGCAGATTTATTGCAGCTAAAATCAACGCTAATATAATGCATAAATCAGGCTGATCAAGCCAACATACGATATATTCGCTTGAATCTAGCATAAATAAGTTCGTTTCGGCTCTACCTCTGCTGAACGGGCCAAGTCTCTGGCTACATGTGAGCCAAATGAAATTCAGCGAAAACGAATCATTTTGGCCAACTGCTGATGGCTGGGGTTGGATGGCTGGCTGCCTCGCTGGCTAGGTTACCCTAAATTGTTCGACGGCTATATTAGGTGCACGCTTTTTTAGTAGAGCGCAGCAAACAGACAGTCAGAAACAGAGAGGGAGAGAGAGAGAGAGACCGTTAGAGCGCAGACGTGTACTCTCTCGCCTTCCAGCGGTCCTGCCAAATGCTCTCAGTGAATTGCTAGGGAAATAACTGACTGCGAAAAAAACTGGGTTTTTCGCAGCAGTTCTAGCAGCTGGCCCTCGAGTTAGCGCCTGGCTAATTGAAATATTGCATCGTAGGTCAGTTTGAGGCAACTACCGTGAGAACTCGATGACAATTTCAAACACTTCTGCAGTCACTGCCAACCTTCAGAACCGCTCTAAACGCCTGTGTGAAACCCAGGATGCCTAGTGGATAGCAGATAGCAGGTAGCAGGCGTGTCAGCCGGCAAAGTGCCTTCAAAGAGGCAATCAAAGCTGGGCTTAGCAAACCTGTCCAGCACTAATTAAAAACCCATTTACTGAACGCGAGCGCTGCCAATGGAACAGATGTACTAAGCAGCACAGAAGTACAACAATGTAGAAGTAGATGGCAAAAAAGTCGACTGCAAACAGTACCTCGGCTTGCTGGTTGCGGTTGTTTTTGTTTGCCTGATCAAGTTTGGTGTTTTCACACATTTCCAGATCAGTGGCCAACTGTCGACTTTTCTGCGGGCCTACGCAGCGGCCTAAAGTTGAAAACAAAACTTCAGTTGGTGAGTGGGAAACGGGTTGACGGGCTGACGGGTTGGCTGGTGCAGAACGAAACATAAAACTGGTTTTTGGGTCAAAGCGAAGGGCTACTAGCCCGCTACAGAGGCCAGACAACGGCGTACTGGCAAACTTGAGATAATTATTCAATGAAGCCGAGATCTCGAGACCTGAGTCGCACTCGCAGTCGACAGCTGTCGCAGCAGAAGGGCTATGCTAAAGGGTTATCGAGTGGCTGACACACATACACACGCACACGTGCACACACAAGCAACGACTCGACCCGACTGGACAGGTTAGCCAACGAGCGTAGCAAAGGTGAGCATCGGCATAGGCATCGGCATCGGCATTGGCATCGGCATCGGAGTGCGGGTATAAGAGTCATCCAGTCGGCTTGAGTTGTTTGCTAGCCATTTTCGCGCAGGTTCTCGCTCTCTTTCTCTTTCTCTCTCGTGCGCTCTCTCAGATTTTCTCTTGTGCTCGTGCTCTCAGCAGAGGTTGCTCCGTGGCTCTCCGGAAGTTGTGGTGGCTGCAATCATCGGGCAGCGCTACTGCTTTATTCCTGACGTCGAGCTCGGCGCAGATTTAGTACTCAATTGTTGTGCTGCTACGGCGTACGTGAACGCGGACTGTGAAACACAACGTTCAGTTCTCAGTGAAGTTGTAAGTGCTGTTTGTGTCTGGTTTCTGTGCCTTTGCCTGTGACTGTGACTGTGTTAGTGTGTGCGTGTGTGTGTGTGCGCGCCTGTGTGTGTGCGTGCGTGTGCCTGCCTGCCTGTCTCGCTTGTGTGCGCATATCTGTGTATGTACACACGTACTATGTGTGTGCAAAGATGAAAATTAGATGAAAAATTACAAAAAATAAATCAAATAAATTGTAAATGCAAGCAGAGTGGGCAAACACCCCAAAATGCTCAAGGGGTGGTGCGACATTATGTGTGTGGCTGTGTTGAAAAAATAATATATGGAATCGCATCAATATTGAAAACACAAAATACTCGCAAGCGTGAAGCAAAAGCAGGGAGTGATTCTCAATTTTGTAACAGCTACGAAGTTCATGATTTTCACGCTCACTGTCAGAGGACCACACCCGCGCGGATGCACAGGTTACAAAAAGAAAAACCAGCGGCTGTCGTGCTAGAGAAAATCACCAGAGTCAGAAGCAGAAAAGAGCTCAGAGTCAGAGCCAGAGCCAGAGCCAGAGCCAGTGTCAGAGCAAGAGCAAGAGCCAGAGCGGAGGTGCAAGAAAAATTCCAGTTTTCGACTGCAACCCAAAGGATCACGCGGAGAGCAGAAGAGCGAAAGAGTAGGTCGTCGGCGTCGTTAATAGCTCGCTCGAGTGGCTGGCTGGAACGCAGCTGTGTTTAAGTTCTAGCAGCGATGGGGGAGCAGCAGAAGGAGGAACACCAAATGCAGGGTAGTTGTCGTGCGGGACAGGATGTTCGCCAAAGTTGCGCAAGTGAATATTTCCCGCTATTTCAAGCGAACGTTATGCGCTAACAAGACCGTTTTAAACCAATGTCAGCTGTTTAGGATTTCATCTTAGAAAATAAATTTTGCGGTTTGCCAATATTTTAGATAATTATTTATGCATGCTTTACTATGCAAAAACGCAGCACGACAAGTCAAGTTGATTAACCACAGATTTAATTTTACTGCAAGCTTCTGTAGCTAACAAAAAACTCAACTACCAAAAATAGTGACCAAAACATTTGCTTGGTTTTATGGTCTGTTACGAAAACGCTGTTGGGAGCAGCGTTTTTTTTTTTTTGGGCCTGGAAAACTGGTGCTCAGCCAAGTTGTGCAGTCGGCAGAGCAAATTTTCCAATAGAGAGGAGAGTCGCTACCACGCGTCGCAGAGCCAAACTGAAACCGAAACAGAAACAGAAACAGAAACATGGAGCTGGCTGTTCGACGTTCGAGGTATTGCCTCTAACTTGGCAACGGAGCGCTCGCATCTTACAGCTGTGCTGTGGTTCGCTTCTGGCTTCTGGCTCTGTAACTTTTTGGGAAAAAAAGAAGGTTAAGCGAAAAACTAAACTAAAACAAAGCAGCACTCTAACGGGGCAGGCAGGTGGACAAATTGTAAAAGTTACGGAAGCGGTTCGTGAGGGCTCGAACAAAACATTACACTGTGTGATAATTATATAATGCGTTTCAGGACAATGTCTCGGACAGCGTGTCCTGATGCCAAATGAGTCACGTGCTTGGCAAACCAAATTCTATACTGTATGTGTGTATGCGAGTGTGCGAGTGTACGTATGTGTGTGTGAGTTTAGTGTTAGCAAACAGGGCGTGAAAAAAGTCGAAAAGTGGCAACCCAATCGGGAGTTTACAGCAAACAACTTCCTCAGACCATATGCGATTACAACATCAAAATCGAACATAATTTTTTTATTTTACGCCGAGTTGATTTAAGTTGATGTGCATAAAAAGCGACGTCGCACCAGAATATGGGTTGAATGTGAATGTTTATGCTTGGCCATCGCGTTTATTTTACGTCTTATGTATTCTTTTTGTTCTCAACCCTTGAAATGTTGCCTGTAGCCCAGCTCCACGTAAAAGTCAACGGAAACACTCCCGTCGGCAGCAGCAGCGGCAGCCATTGCTGAGGTCCTTCATCAAAATGCGCACACACACAAAAGTAAATGTATATGAAAAGAAAGTGTCATAAATCAAGCGATTATCCTGTAAACAAAGTGTAAAACGCGCCCCAGCAAACAACAACAACAACCTTTAATAAAAACAGAACCAGAAACCCAACAAGGAGTTTTTCTTAATAAAACCCGATTTGTATTACGTTAAAAGCCAGCGCGGATAACAACAACAACAACAACCGTCACAGCAACAACAACAAGAACAACAACAACAGCAAAGGCGTGCTTTTTATTACTTGAGCATTTAATTTTGCTGAGTTGCTGTTGGACATTTCATCTGAAGCCCAACAAGGTTTCGGGTCCAGCTACAACTACATTGTTTGGCATTTTCGGAGAGTCCCAGCAAAAAACAAGGCACTACATTGGATTGGGTTTTAAACACATTATATAATGCTTGCGACAGTGAGGTGAGTAAATAGTCGTCTTCTCTGATCGTCTGCTCTTATAATAATCCATAGTGAACACAAATAGCAGTGCGCTCATTGGGAATATCCGACTAGCAAATACTCTGAACGACATGCAGCGTAGCAGTTTTAGCCTGCCAGTTACTCGTATAGCCCTTTTGGTGCATATCAATCTTCATATTTATAGAGTTACTCACTATAGAGTTACTTACTCTCGAAGAAGTTTCGCTTTAAAGTGCCTAAAGTGTTCGCGCACACAGGAACTTAATTGAATCGGAGCTTCTCTATGGAAATCGAGGGCTGCTATCAGCACACAGAATAGGCGAAAATGTAATTACAATTTATGCATTTTTCAATTACAATTGCAAAGTGTATGTAAATGTCACAATTCAATTACAAGGCCTGCCATGGCAGAATGCAGACAGACAGTGCACAACAGAGCATAAAAACAGAGCCACAAAACAATCGGAAAATGTGTGTAAAACTATTCTTGGCTTGGGTTGAGTAGCTCAAGTTTGATTGCTTCTATGGTTTTGGCTCGGGCAGCGCCTTTCCACTCCCTGCCGCCGACGGCTAATGTAATTGTAGATGGTAAGGCCCACAAGCATGTATATCTATCAGTTTTTAGCTTGTAGCCGGCAGCTGCAATCGATTGGCAAGTAGGAAATTGCAATTTCCATAAACAGAAATGTGTTTTGCTTGACTTAACCCCAATGCCAAACATTTGTTTAGACTTTCGCTCTGTCTTAATTTAACATTGATTGCACACACACACATACACGCACACACACTTTCACACAGACATTTGTTATTATTGGCTGTTCTTTGAAGCTATCTTCTCCAAGTGTCTCGACATCTCGCAGACCGAGGCTAATGGTAATAGTAACAAATTGTGAATAATGATAAATGGCTGCGTTTATCTTTATTTCAGCACTGTCTATTGACCCAGCCAAATATGATTACTTCTTCCCAGCTATGGCTAGAATTGTTTCAAACATTTTTTAGTTGCTTAATTGATTAATCGCTTCTTCCTCACATACTCGAACATTTGGATCTCGCTATCTTAATGGAAAGCAATTGTAAACTCGCACACGAATGACGTCGCAAAACAATAATTTCTCACGCATGCAGCCAAACTCGCATAGACGGAAAAATGTGTAAACAAAATAGATTCCAAACAAAAAGTGGCTATCGAACGACAGCGAAATGAAAATATCATCAGAAAGCAAAAAACAAGAGCCTCTGAAAATAGCTCGAGTGGAGAGAGACGAATGAGGAGAAAAAAGTGAGTGACCAGCTAGCTAGAGCCACAGCCACAGCCAGAGCCCCAGGCAGAGGCAGAGGCAGAGGCAGCGACTGGTCAGCCGTCCCGCAGTTCATTGGAATTTCTGTTTGAATGTGATACCGAATGGGAGCGAAATAGAGGAAGCAGTGTCAGTGGGGTATAGGGGCAGAACAGAACAGTCCGAGAACCGAGAAACTGGAGAGCACTTGAAGTGTACTGTGCCATAGAGTTAGGCGTGCTGCTGTGCGATTATGTGAATAGAAGAGCAAATCCGAAAGGAAAAATCAAAAATCGAAAAGCTGAGAAACTGAGAAACTGAAAAACAGAAAAAATCTTTGCCTCAGGTAATAATGAGGCACATTTATGTATTGCCTAAATTTTCTCTCGATGTTCGATGAAGTTCACTCAGTTTGAATGCTGGAGATGTTTGTTTACACACACATACACGCGCACACATTCAGCTTAAAAGCAGTTATATGGCTGTGATGGCGCCCAAAACTGGCGCGCATAATGATGCGAATGCTGAGCACAAAACATAAGCCCCAAGAGGCTCTACAGCATAGCGATATTCACCACAACAACGATCGCGTAGGCCCGAAGTTATACTGGAGGGGGATCGGCGACATTTGTATAAGAGAGGGGAAAGAGAGAGAGAACCTCGTATAAGAGATAACTTGTTTTCCAAGCCCAAACTCGAGTGCGACAGATACACAGAATTTCCTGTATTAGCAGCTGTGCTAATTCAATGACGTCAGGGAAGACTGAAAATGCAGAATGTGATTTTAGCATCAAGCTTCAGCAAGTCGCATCAATCTGCTGCAGCCATAGATCTGCGCACTTTCCACTCAGACGCTAGGGCATATGATGTAGGTGTTATTGTATTTCCCGAGTTTACATACACACACACACACACCTACCTCTTAGCGTTGGGCATTGTTTTTTTTTTTTACTCCATTGGCAGTGAAGCATAAAAATTGACCTAGTTCGACTGTTTTTACAGCATGACAAAAGTTCGCTCTGGCAGTAAAAGGGACTAGGACTAGGTTAAAAATATCCTTATTCTATTTTTGGCTAAAAGCGCAAACTGAACGAATGCAAATATATCTTACTGAAAGTAAAATAAGGAAAAAAATAAAGATAACTAAATAATCAAATATATTGCATCTAAAACCAAGAACTGCTTAGCTTAACTTTGTAGGTATAAAAAAGGAGGCAGGAGAAGAGTTTCCGACCGGTAAATATCATCCACTGAGAGGTCAGTCACACCTACTTTTGCATTTACATTTTAATAAAATTTAGCTTGGATTCCCATATCCCCAAACAGATAAAAATTAGAAATTGTTTGCATTTCTTGTTCAGCTTTCTCAAGAGCGTCTGCACTCTGTTCACCTTTTTGGCACTACAAAGAAAGAACTGTACATATATATATATATATATATATATATATACATGCGTATATATAAGCAGAGAAATACTTGCAGGTCGGCACTTCAATTTCATAACTTTGTATACTTTTTTGCAGCTATGTGGGCTCCTTTTGTTTTGTTACTGCAAAAGTTTTGGAGTGAAAATGGGATAAAAAGCTTTTGAAGCGCTTTTTGTGTGTGAAAACCACAAACTGAAAGTAGAATGCAGTAGAATACTTTGTGCGAAAGCAATTAAAAATAAAACAATTAGATGAGCAGAAAGAAAGAAGGGCAAGCACAGAAATTAAAGAACACAAATGTTCATTATCATATTCAAATGTGGCTTGCACATTCAAGAGGGCAAAAGGAAAATTCAAAAATTCGTAGCCATTACATGTACACCCTTTTAGCCACAATGGCATTCCAATTTAACAAAACTCGCCATAATTTGCACTCGATATCCCCTTTAAACTGCCCCTCTTTGGGTGTCTCGTGCCGAGTGGCGAGTGCCAAAAGCTATTTAGGCCCGGTGCGGAGGCCAGCGCTCGGGCAGCTCTTCTTGGGAACTGCTGCTGTAAAGTGTGTTCGGTGTTCATTATTTCGTAGTAGCTATTAAAGTAATTTGCCACATTTGTCGCCGGCCATTAGGCGCTATTAAAGCGCAATCAGAACGATTTCCCCAGCCCGTGGGCCGATACTTGAGAATCAATTTCAACAACGAAAAACTTCTCACAACTTCTTCCAGCACGAACCCTTTTTATTAGTTCTGGTCTATCGTCAGGACGACGCAGCATAAGTCGCCACTTTAAAAGGACCTTCAGACCGCACTAACGACACAATGCCGTGTCGCACAGTGTAGTTACACTGTGCATACAGTTCAATAAACTCATCGCCTGCAATCGCCAACTTTTCTTATAGAACTCTGGTAAAAATCAATATTACCTTAGTCTATTTGCTGAGTCTGGCAATGTTGCCCGAGAAATTATAGATTTCTGTTGCTCAAAGTTCAGTTTTTTTAGCTTTGCATTACTTCAACTAATTCAATGCGAAAAAAAATTGTTTTTTGTATAGAATTTAATCTGCATTCCAGCCCCAGGCCTCCACTTTAAGGCATGGAAATTCATTTTTGCATAATGGGAAAAGTTTTACACTTCAGTCATGATTTGCTTTTCTTCTGCTCGCAGCATTTCATTTAATGCAGCGGCCAAAAGACGTGCCTGTCAAAAGGGACGCCGACGGGGCCAATGGGCAGGACGACGACATCGCTTCGAGTCGAGTGCCAAACTTTTTGCCAGAGTCTCGCTTCGGAATGCTCCGTACTTCACTGGAGAGCTTAACTATCAGCATTCTCTTAACTACCAAACAGCGCAGCTGATTGTCTGTCGTGCATGTTTGCTGGAAAAGGTGCGGATGGTCGTTAAGCCCCTCTGAGTCTATATTTATACTACTATAAGTTGAGCCTATGCGAAATGGGTAATTGGGGTATACGAATTTGAAGTCACTCAAGAGGAAGGTAGCTCTAATACCATTTACATTTATTATATATTCCCGATTAGCTTAACTTAATGCCGACTCAAAATAATCATTTTGATTTGTCTCAAGCAAAATAAGCCTATTTGCTACTCTCCATTTTGAGTTGCCTATAAAAAGGCCAATATAAGGATGAGCATGCTGATGATGATGACAATGAGCAGCTGATGATATTTATGTAGCAAGAAATTCATATATAAAGCTTAATATCGTGAAGATATAAAGTTTTAAGAAATTGACTTTACGGTTGGTTATAGATGGCAAAGGTGGAGTCGACGTCCTTCCGGCATTGCTTTTATATAATTATTGTTTGTCCGCTCGCTTGTCGCCCATCTTGGCAGCACAAATAATAACAAAACTTTCATTATTAATTTTTCTTAATCGAAATGCCGCAATTAAGAATGAAACATAAAACTTTTCTGCTCGCCTTTGAGGGCGATTTTTCGTTCTTCTTTCATTCTCCCATTTGCTTCATTCAGCCTCCTGCCTCTCGCCTTCTGCTTATCCTGCTTGATGACTTTAATAATTATGAGAAAAAAGATGAGGTACAAAAAATTATTAAAGAAACTCGCGAAATACCACAAAAAGTAAATGCTGTAAAGTCAAATTAAAATTACATAAAAAAATTGTAAAAATCATGTGAAAAAGAAAATTGACACGGAATTTGTGCACTGTCATCGATGATGAGTTCGGACATCGGACGGCAATGCAATGTAATAATGATAAGTGAAGAAAAGATGTACTAACGAAATTAAACAATTCATTATGGAGTCATTCTTGTC